CCGGAGAAGGTTCCGGAGAAGGTTCCGGTGAAGGTCTGGGCAGAGCCAGGTTAGGTTCAACAGGGTTCTGGAGAAGGTTCCGGTGAAGGTCTGGGATGCTTTGGTGCAAAGCCAGGGCAAGCCGGGTTATATAGGTTCAACAGGGTTCTGGAGAAGGTTCCGGTGAAGGTCTGGGAGGCTTCGGTGCAGCCGGTCAGGTTCAACAGGGTTCCGGAGAAGGTTCCGGAGAAGGTTCCAGGAAGCCTTGGTGCAAAGCCAGGTCAGGTTCAACGGGGTCCGGAGAAGGTTGCGGAGCAGGTCCCGGAGAAGGTTTTGGGAATCTTTGGTGCAGGCCAGGTCAGGACAGGGTTTCCAGCGCTTGGCTTGGCAGCACGCTTCAGAAAGATTTCTAAAAATAAAACGTTGCGGCTGTTGGGCATACCACCGAAGATTATTTTCATTGTTTTGTCTTCTTAGTTTTGAAATTCTGGAGAGTGCTAGTACTTTTCCTTGTCTCCAATTTGCTCAAGGAATTCTTGCAGTCGGTGCGAGATATTCCCAGAGCACGCGTGGACACGATTGAGCAGATTGCTGGTGCAGCTGCTTCGTCTGAAATGCCCGCAGGCAAGAAGGTCCCAACAAACAAATCTTAGGATTTGGAGAGTTTTGAGTTGATTAAGAGAGTCAACTGCAGTTTCTTTGTTTGCCGGCTGTCGGGTTGAAGAGGAGTGAAGAAGAAACCAATTTTTTGGCACTTCTTGTTTTGGTTCTCTGTTTGGAAACGTTTAACTTGGTAAACCTTGAGATCACTCAGACATGCGGATCCGACAGTCCTTGGGCTTGGGGGGAACAAGCCCTCTTGGTCAGAGATGTTAGAAAACCCCAATCGATCAACAAGATCGCAAAATTTGGTCTTGAGATGCTTGAGGGACGAGCATCTTTTTCTGTCTGGTGGACCGGGCAGAGATGGCAGAGACTTCAATCGATCAAGAAGATCGCGTGAGCAGGGAAAATGTCAGAAACAACATGTGTCCCGGGAGATCAGAGCAGTGTTTCGAAACTTTTGCCAGGCTATGTGCCTCAATGGTCTGGTTTTTATCCAGGGTTCACGGTCTAAGGTTGTTTTTTATATGCACCTCAGTGTTAGGGTTTTCATCCACAGGGCACGGTTAAAAATTAATAAACGCAGATTAAAAAAATTAGGCTTGACCCCAAAACCTATCCCCTCATGTAACCTCAGTACAATTTTTTATCAGGCCTCAAATTTTGGGTTGGAACCTGGTTTTGATCCAGTTCCCCGAGATAAAATCCATGTCCAAACCCTAAAGGCAGCACCACACGGGGATTATAAACATCTTATCGTTGGTTTTGATGATTTTTTGTTTTGTCAATTTTAGAGCATTTTTAGTCAAAAGTATTCATAGGTTCCTTGTTGATTATTTTATCGGTTATTATTGTTGGGATTAGGATTTGTTGAGATTGTTGTGACAATGTTTGGTTTATATACGGTAACGACATTTGAATATGTGGAGGGCGGGCCAGACCGCAAGGCCCCGGAGGTAGTATGAAATACCAGTTCGTATATTTAAATGTAGTTGCAGTATGTTTAAATGAATTGGATTCCGTATGTTTAAATGGCTGGGCGGGCCAAGGAAAACCTTCACGGAGGTAGTCTAAAATACCTGTTCATATGTTTAAAAATCATCCTCCTGCCAATTTCCACTACTAAATGCTATGACCTAGGTCCCGGAAAGTGAACCAAAAATTTAGTGTGAAATTTCCAGAAACCATTTAGTAGAGAATCATGATTTTTCAAAAAACAATCAAGTAAACATCTCTAGACCCATGATCCACATTTAGTAGTGAGGTAAAAATGATATGTTAACCATATGATGTCAAATGTTGTTTGTTGGGTAAAACCATTTAGTAGAGATGTCAAAATAATGTTGCAAAATCACAGGAACCATTTAGTAGAGGTTGCGAAGTAGAGTTCATAAAACGGTCACAATGACACGAGACAAAACTGAAAAACCATTTAGTAGAGATTCCCATTCCGTCGCCCCCGATAGCCATTTGGCCAATCCATGTCCATCAGGATGAATCACGTCAATCCAGATAAATTATTCCTAACGATAAATCAAAGATATTCCTGGGTTGAAGTAAATCAACATGATCGGGTATACCGCGATATGAAACAACAGAAGTTGGACAAAGATAGCATCCTTGCAGTATCCTGCCATGCCGCCTCCAGTCTAGCCAAGTGCTGCCTCTACTAAATGGATGGTCATGGGATCAGTCTATCTAGAACTGTTTCAAACAAAGCCCTGTTGCATCCTTGTGTGCCCTATTATCCCTTACGTGCTATGGAACACCATTTTGTAGTCCCAAAATGTCAAAAATCTGTCAAGATTTCCCCTGTAGCCAAGTGCTGCCTTGCCTTTTTTGGGGGCGATGCCAAATCCCTCGCTTGGGTGTTTCTTGCTCGTCGGGTGCTGCCTTTCGTGTTTTTTTTTTGCCTTTTTTGGGGGCGATGCCAAATCCCTCGCTTGGGTGTTTCTTGCTCGTCGGGTGCTGCCTTTCGTGCTTGGGTTCTTTTGTTGCCTTTTTTGGGGGCGATGCCAAATCCCTCGCTTGGGTGTTTCTTGCTCGTCGGGTGCTGCCTTTCGTGTTTGGGTTCAACATGATCGGGTATACCGCGATATGAAACAACAGAAGTCGGACAAAGATAGCATCCTTGCGGTATCCTGCCATGCCGCCTCCAGTCTAGCCAAGTGCTGCCTCTACTAAATGGATGGTCATGGGATCAGTCATATGTGTTTCATGTTGTTTTCTCTACTAAATGGACCCCGTGTATTTCTCTACTAAATGGCTTTGGGGTTTTGGTCGAGTGATGTTGGTCCCCCAACTTGTGGTCAAACGAGTACCTCTACTAAATGGAACAGGGCGTTTGGTCGAATCATATTGGCGTCTTAAGACACTCTGAAAATATATCCAAATTTTGCGCTTCAGCTGAACCAGGGGCCCACATTTAGTAGTGAAATTCGATCATGCATGCACATCCATTTAGTAGAGCTTGAGGCTATGCAGGCCGTTTCTTCACTACAAAATGGTTGCACAGCCCCAACCCTTAATTGACAGGGGGTTTAAAAATCCGTATATTTAAATGTAGTTACCGTAAGGTGGATACTTGTTGCGGTTGATGCGTTTTATCAGAAATTTATATATACTAGAATAATTGGAGGGGTTATCATTTATCATCTACCGTCGCCCCACACGCCTCGCGGACATCGTCTTCAACATAAATAATCTGCGTGCTCAGATTTCGGTTTGGAATTTTCGGTCGCAACGATGTTGACGGAAATGTGTCGGTGAGTTGAAGATTTTTTCTCAGAAAGATGTTTCTTTGTCCCTGTTGGATGGAAAGTCGTTGAACAACCATGTCGCTGTCCTATGTAGCAATTCGTCGCTCACAGCATTTTTTCGGCATTGACCTTTCCGATGTCTCCAAAGAAGAACTCCGACCAGAAGAAGGGTGGATACTCCAAGGAAGAGCCCAAGCCCAACAATCCTGAAGAGGAAGAGGAACAGTTGTGAATGTTCTTGCTGATGTGCCATCCTCATCATCCAATCCACCAGTCATTGGCGAGGGCATCTTTCAGATTATGGAGATGGATGATGAAACCTTCAGCAAGTGGTTGAAGGAAAACAGCATTGATACCTTATCTAACTAGAGCGATGCTATGATGAATACTACGAAGCAGATGTTCGAACGTGTGAAGTCCATCAAGTAGTCAGTGAAGGAGGCTGGAATGGAAGAGCGCAACACACTGGCAGAGCAGAAGAAGAAAGAGACTTTGACCGAGAAGAAGAAGCAGGACAAAGCAGACATAAGCAGGCCGTGAAACCTACATCACAGTCCGCATCAGGGTTGGTGATGTTGTCTATGAAGTCCGCGTCCAGAAGAAGACAACGGTTGGTGACCTTCGGAAGCAGCTGATGGTTGTGATAGGACGTGCCTTGTCTAACTCCTTGAAGGGAAGTGATTTCGGAGCACACCCGCAAGACTTTGAAAGCATACGAGGTGAAGGATGGTGATGAGATAATTGCGGAAGAGTTGGCAAAAATTCCGAAGGGAACTACGGTATCAATCACCGGCAACGAGGTTGAGGCAGTGGTGGATGGGCAGATGTTTCTCACCACTCTTTACTATGGTACCGACACTTTGACAATCGGAGAAGTCATTTTCAATGCCGTGGAGGCAGGGGCATCCACTGATGAGGGTGAAGTGGATGAAGAAGAAGAATACGATGAGCAGTAGGTCAGAGATTTGCCAGATTGACCGATTTGTGTGGAATACCGTGGAAAGCATGATGACCTCTCCACACACATGTCCATCTAATTAACCCACACCTGGTTGATCGAGAGCACACGGACGTCCACACTCATAGCCTGAAAGTATTGTCTCGATTAGGGTTCGGCAACTGACATTTTTGTCCGATTTGAAAGGCAAAAGAGTGTGTGAGGCGGTGCGTTTGTCAGTGTTGTCGGGAAACTTCATTTTTTCCATTTCAGAAAGGCGTTCATTTGAAGGGTTGCCACTTGCCATTCGTCAGTTTCACTTTGTAGCAGACATTTCTCACTCAATTCGCTTCGTTCCCAGTGTTTCCTTTCCATCTTTGGTTTGCCAAATGTCTTCCACCAAGACCATAGAAGAGAAACCAAAGAAGGGACACTGGACACAGAAAATCAACAGAGAGAACCGTGATTTGAAAGAATTGAACCGAGTTTTGATGAATGAGTTGAAGAAGCAGGGATCAGACATTGTCATCCAACTTTCTACATCCGAGACTTCAAGTGCTGTCGGAAGTGGCGGGTATGACGGTGGCAACCCCCCTGATGACCAATGAGGTGATGGTGATTCGGGAGGAGATGGTGATGGAAGCGGTGATGACTTTGACCCTGACGACACTGATGATGACCTTTTCCAGTCTTTTGCCAACAAATTCATTGAGGTTGCCGTGATGTATGACTTCAACAATGTCGTCACCCTCTACTTCATGGTCAATCCCAGTTGGAAGATGAAGGCGTTGGACTATCTCATCTGTGCGAAACTCAAGATACCCGGTGGCATTCTTGAGTTCAGCAATTCCAAGGGTGATGACCTCTACAAGATGCGCACTTTTGACGACAATGGCATCAAACGGACAGTCCATACACGTCAAGATTGGTGGGTTGAAGGGTGGAACGAACAGACCTTCAAGACCAGCAAACTTGGAGAAAGTGATGAATGCCTTTTTTAAGAACTCCAAGAAGACCTACAACAAACGAGTTGAAGCAGTTGATGACGATGTTGTGCCACAAGTTCCTCTACCTTTCCAACAACTCATCAACCAGATTGACCAGCAGATTGTCTCCATCAAAGCGAAGATGGCATTGGATGAAAACATCATCAAAGAAGTGCTGGAGAACTTGGAGGACAACAAGCTCAAGGAACTGAAGGAAGTGTTTGAACTGCGTGATGGCAAAACTACGGAGGACAAGTTGGCATCAGTGGCAGACACCCTTTGGAAAGAAGTTGGCATCATCAAAGATGGCAACCCACATTTGAAGAACAATCGGATTGCTATGGTTGAACTTCTTTTGGAAGTCTTTGGACGAAACTATCACAAGTTCAAGTCTGGCAATTTGACCTACTCATTGGAAGGCTTCATCAAGGAAATTGATGCCATTGAGAACCTGCGGAAGGGTCAGGGGACTGCTTTTGAGAGGCAGAATGCTGCTGAAAATCAGGAGGTTGTTGCTCCACGGTCATGTCCTTTGATGTAGATTGAAGACTATTTCCCTGCTGTCGTCAAAATCCCCGACAAAGTGTCGTAAAAATCCCCGACAAAGTGTCGTTAAGTTTCCCGACAAATTGTCTTGTTTTGATTAGAGATTGAAGGTGGACTGTCGCGACCGAAGGGCGGGAAAATGACTTTTGTTTTGGAAATTCATTTGGATGGACTGCTGGTTTTGATTGCCTCCATTCCCTCTCAACCCTTCTGACCCAGCACTTCCACCCCGACAGATTTTTGTTTGATGTCATCCTGCCCGACGTGAGGTTCTGACGACATTATCATCACCATCTTTGAGAAGGGGTGGCAACCGGTGCGTTCAACCAGAGCATGGAGGGTCAGTCCATCTATAAACCACATCTTTCCATTTATTTTTACATACATACATACATACATACATACATACATACATACATACATACGTACATACATACATACATAGATACATACATACATACATACATACATACATACGTACATACATACATACATACATACATACATGCATACATACATAGATAGATAGGTAGATAGATAGATAGATAGATAGATAGATAGATACATACATACATACATGTGTAAATAATTAATTAATTAAATATATATATATATTTAATGTTTATATTTATTCTTAGCTGATTTGGTCAATTGGTGGAGCGAACCGCTCCGTGCGTAGTAACTTCAAAGCACACCCCCATTTGACTAAATCGGTTTAGGACACCCCCAGCGGATTAGATTGCTTGGTTGCTGGATATTTTTAGGGGTTGGTTGACGGGGGAACCTCCCTATCTTATCCACGACATTTTTTTTGGGGATATAAAATTTCTTGGGATTGTAATGACCCCCAAAGGATGGATTGCCCAATTCAAGGAATGTTATGATGCCTGAATTGCCCTATCCATCCAAAACCACCAAAGGGGATAATGACTGAAATAAAATCTACGAGACGCTGAAATAAAATCTATGAGACACTGACATCAAATCTATGAGAAATTCACCGCAACACCAACACATCTTGTCATCTTCTCCTCAGCATGCTGGATCTGATGAACTGCATGGTCTGATAAATCCTTGGCTCTGAAGAACTGGGAATTCCTTGTCATGTTGGCTATGGCACCTAATGCTGCTGCACTTTTGTGATCTTTCAACTTCTTCAATCTCTCTGATGCTTTGGTATGTGCATCTTCCTGCTTTTTCTTCAAAGATGCTGCTTGTTTCTCAGTCTCATCCTTGGCCTTCTTCAGCTAATCAAACTCTCCCAGCAATGCCTTCTGAAGCTTCTGCAGCTTGATCTTCCAATCACTCTGCAGCTGGTCTGGCCAGCCTCTGCTGGCTGGACCTGATGTGCTTTTGCATGCCCCCTGCTCCATGTAAGCAATGACAAACGGCCACAATCTGCATCATTTTGCTTGATGCGATTGCATCGCTGGAGCTGGACTTGATCTTTCTCCACTGAATCAAACAAGCTGATCAAAGCAACTGCTCTTTGATGGCAATCTTTGTGCAAGGTGCCCAAAGTCTCATAGTATCTCCAGCTTGATGAATCTTTCACAAGCAATGTCCAATGTGGAGGAGTGCGGCCCTGGATTGGGCAAAGGAGCATCTCCACACCTGATGCAAAGCTCAAAATGCTTGCCTGGACATTCTGAAATGCTGAAATGTTTAATCTTCACTGGTCAAAGGGGTGCTCAATCTGGCCACCAAAGCTGGATCCAGCATCTGCACCTCATCAGGAATCTTCAGGCTGTATCTCATCAACTCCCAAGCTGCAACTAAATGCTCATCTTCTAAATACCCATTTGCTCCAATGGGCTGCAACTGCAATGAGTACTCGACAAAGGGCTGGGGGAAACAAGCCATGGCTTCCAAAATCCTTTGCATCACTGCTCTGCTCAAGGAGTTGAACTGCTTATGTTGCACTGGCTTCTTCCACTCTGCTCTTTCTTCCTCAATGTGGCTTGTGCCGCAGCTGATGGTGCCAGTGGCTGTGAAGACAGTGGCCTTGTGCTCATTGATGCTGCTCAATGCCCCTGTCTTTCCAAAAGATTTGGGCCCAGCCTGCTCATCTGTGATTCTTACCTCTAGGCCCATCAAAGGATGTTCTGATGGTGGTGGCAATGGTGGCTTCTCTTCATCTGCATGCTCTGTATGCTGCATGTCTTTCTTCATACTGACCAGCAGCTTTTTACCAACTCCATCAGAACCTTTCTTCATGCTGCCCTTCTTCAGAAGCTTGGCCTTTGCTGATGGTTTAGTCTTCAAACTCGCTTTTGCCTTTGCTGATGGTTTTTTCTGTGATGCTTTTCTGTTTTGCCAACCTTTTTTCCCGAGAGCGTCTGAGCGCAGGGTTCTTCCAATAGTGGGGGTCTGTAAAACATCTTCTCATCTTCACATCTTCTCATCTTCCCATCTTCTCATCTTCACATCTTCTTATCCTCACATCTTCTCCTCATCCCTCATCTTCTCATCTTCACATCTTCTCATCCTCACATCTTCTCATCTTCACACCTTCTCATCTTCACATCTTCTCATCTTCACATCTTCTCATCTTCACATCTTCTCATCCTCGCATCTTCTCCTCATCTTCTCATCTTCACATCTTCTCATCCCCTCATCTTCTCATCTTCACATCTTCTCATCTTCACATCTTCTCACATCTTCTCACATCTTCTCATCTTCTTATCTTCTCACATCTTCTCACATCTTCTCATCTTCACATCTTCTCACATCTTCTCACATCTTCTCATCTTCACATCTTCTCATCTCACATCTTCTCCTCTTGCCCTCTTGCCCTCTTGCCCTCTTGCCCTCTTGTCCTCTTGCCCTCTTGCCCTCTTGCCCTCTCCTTCTTTTCTATTTCTCTTTTGAAGGCGGGAGCAGGGGCAGTGCCAACGAGACGGCACGAAACGCAACCCTTTCGCACGAAATGAGGGTCGATCGTCAAAAACTGAGGAAAAATTGCGATTTTACTTGTGCCGGAGCAACCCTTTCGCACGAAATGAGGGTCGATCGTCAAAACTGAGGAAAAATTGCGATTTGACTTGTGCCGGAGCAACCCTTTCGCACGAAATGAGGGTCGATCGTCAAAAACTGAGGAAAAATTGCGATTTTACTTGTGCCGGAGCAACCCTTTCGCACGAAATGAGGGTCGATCGTCAAAACTGAGGAAAAATTGCGATTTGACTTGTGCCGGACTTGTCTGTGTGTAAAAGCGCCTGTGTGTAAAAAGCGTCTGTGTGTAAAAGCGTCTGTGTGTAAAAGCGTCTGTGTGTAAAAGCTTCTGTGTGTAAAAGCCTCTGTGTGTAAACGGGTCTGTGTGTAAAAGCGTCTGTGTGTAAAAGCGTCTGTGTGTAAAGTGTTTTGTGTAAAAGTGTTTTTGTGTGTGAAAACGTCTGTGTGTAAAAGCGCTTTCGTGTGTGTAAAAAAGCTTCTGGTTTGTAAGAGCGTCTCCGTGGTGTCACAATCCTCATGCTTTTGAAAAAAGCACACTCGTGTGGTACAGAAGCGATCCTTTGTGTGTTCAAAGCGTCTGTTTGTAACAGCGTCTGTGCTGTACCAGTGTTTGCTGTGTCACCACCGACTGTTTTGCTGTAACCAGTGTTCTGTGTGTCAACAGGGCGATGTGTGTCAATTGTTTTTTGTGTTTCCAAGCGTCTGTTGTGTAAAAAGCGTCTGTGTGGAAAAAAAGCGTCTGTGTGTAAAAGCGTCTTGTTTTTTTTGTGGTTGAGCAAGCGTCTGTGTTAAACAGTGTTTGTGTAAAAGTTTTCTGTTGTAAAGCCGTTTGTGTGTAAAAGCTTCCTGTGTGTAAAACGTCTGGTGTGTGTAAAAGTCTTGTTGTAATAGCGTCTGTGTGTAGAAAGCGTCTGTGTGTAAAAGCGTCTGTGTGTAAAAGCGTCTGTGTGTAAAAGTGTTTGTATGTAAAAGTGTTTGTGTAAAAGTGTTTGTGTGTAAAAGCGTCTCGTGTGTAAAAGTCTCTGTGTGTAAAAGCGTCTGTGTGTAAAAAGCGTCTGTGTGTCAAAACGTCTGTGTGTAAAAGCGTCTGTGTGTAAAAGTGTTTGTGTAAAAGTGTTTGTGTAAAAGCGTCTGTGTGTAAAAGCTTCTGTGTGTAAAAAGCGTCTGTGTGTAAAAGCGTCTGTGTGTAAAAGCGTCTGTGTGTAAAAGTGTTTGTGTGTAAAAGTGTTTGTGTGTAAAAGTGTTTGTGTGTAAAAGCGTCTGTGTGCAAAAGCGTCTGTGTGCAAAAGGTTGTGTGTGTAAAAGCCTCTGTGTGTAAAAGCGTCTGTGTGTAAAAGCGTCTGTGTGAAAAGCGTCTGTGTGTAAAAGCTTGTGTGTGTAAAAGCCTCTGTGTGTAAAAGCGTCTGTGTGTAAAAGCGTCTGTGTGTCAAAGCGTCTGTGTGTAAAAGCGTCTGTGTGTAAAAGCGTCTGTGTGTAAAAGACTGTGTGTAAAAGCGTCTGTGTGTAAAAGCGTCTGTGTGTAAACCCACATCGATATAAAGGAGCCCACGGGAGTCCGCGTCTTGTGTGTGTAAAGCCAGTCTCCAACTGTGTGTGTAAACAAAGCGTCTGTGTGACACAAGTGGCCTCTTTGTGTACAACAGCGTCGTGTGTACAAACCATAAAGCGGCCTTCTCAGTGAAAGTCTCTGTGTGTAAAAGCAAAGCGTGTGTAAAAGCGTCTGTGTGTCAAAGCGTCTGTCTGTAACAGTCTCTGCGTGTGAAAGTGTTTTGTGTAAAAGCGTGTGTGTAAAAGCGTCTGTGTGTGTGTGTAAAAGTCTCTGTGTGTAAAAGCGTCTTTGTGTAAAAGTCTCTGCGGGTAAAAGCCTCTGTGTGTAAAAGTCTCTGTGTGTAAAAAGCCTGTGTGTAAAAAGTGTCTGTGTGTAAAAGCGTCTGTGTGTAAAAGGGTCTGTGTGTAAAAAAAGCTTCTGTGTGTAAAAGCGCCTGTGTGTAAAAAGCGTCTGTGTGTAAAAGCGTCTGTGTGTAAAAGTGTCTGTGTGTA